AGCATGTGTATTCAGCAGTATTCACTTTCTCCACTAAACGACTCGTTGGAGCTCTTGCCCCCCCCTCCCTGTGAGCCTAGTGTGCTCCGATTGGTCAGCTCGGCCACTCTGTTCTGATTAGTCAACCACCAGAGAGGCTCCGCCCGCTTTTTTCGGGGAACATCAGTCTTATAATGGCGTCGGTACAGCCGTATATTTTATACGCTAACTAACCGAACTGTACCTACAACTGTTGTTATAGAAGAGTGTGACGGCCCCAGGGCCTTTGTGCAGGTGTGTTGCAGGTCTTACGGTGGGGTGGAGCTGAAGAGGCTAATCAGCGCGATCACGGACACCACCGTAGCCGAGGTGCTATTAATCCCAGCGGCCCAGCGGCTCGGCGATTCTCTCCCCTCGACCACCTATCTCTGCATTTACCACAATAAATGTGCCGTGGTTTTGTAAACTCGTGTATGTCTCCTTGTCTTTCCGTTGTGGCCTACGAGCCGGTCATAACAAAGAGTAAGTTATTTTTACCTGTAATAAACTACTACTGTTTGATGAGAAATCAAATCATGGTTTGCTATATATGAATGATATGTTATAGGAGCAAATAATTCAGGGAAGAAAGGATAGGCCTACTAAGTATTTCCATTAAACTTTATTTTTAGAAATGTACAAAATGAACATAAATATACATATATACACACGGTATATCATCCATTCCTCCCCACATCTTGCCTGGGCGCAGCCGGTGCCTTTTAGCACGAGGCCTCAGTAGTAGTAGTCCCGTCCCCATCATGTATTGTCCGCCAGGATCTGGCTGGACGAAATCAAATGCAAATCACAAAATATTAGAGAAACTTAGTTGTTTTAGATTCGTTAGTAGTAGTTGTGGTAGGAGTGTGGATCTATCTAATGAACAGCTTGCCAGCTAATATGCTAACCTAGCTTTATTGTTTACTTTGGTAGCTAACACGATATGAAAGCTAGCTCGGAGGAACGGCAACTATAATGTAGTGTAATAAAACTACTATGAACAAAAGCTAGTGGTTCATATTAGGCTAGCAATAACGTGTTTATAATTGCAATCTTATACGGGTATTCTGCTACGTTCGGTCATACATTGTAACTTGCATGAATACATTGTTTTGCGCTAGCATACAGCTAGCCTCGTTAGCTATACATGCAGTACATGTACTGTCACAATGTACGGTAAATCACCCGGAGTATACTGTATGAGTATTCCGTGTGTGTGACTGCAGACATTCTCCTGCCATGACAAACATGTAAGGCCATCTGCTGACATTGTAGTTGACATATTTAAACGCTAGCAACGTAGCATAACAAAAATGTTTTTCCGATCAAACTAAGGTCTAGCTCTGTCGGTTAGATCGGTAGCATACACGCTACGCCAGCTATAATGTAATTACGTTTCGCGACTGACCGCACGGCAAATCACCCGGAGTATACTGTCAATAGGTATTTTGTGTGTGAATGCAGACATTCTCCTGCTATGAGATACATGTATGCAAGGCCATCTGCTGATATTAGAGTTGATATATGGAAACGCTAGCAACTTAGTTAGCACAGTTAGCACTGTGTCAATAGCTTAGCAGTCCAACACAGTTTACACATTTAAACAGTCTTGTTTGATAAATACACAAATAACAATGCAAACTTACAGGTTGTGTACCCGAATCTTCCCCTGCCCCAAACGGTCCAAACAAACTAGGAATAGCATCGTTCTTCAGTTTCAAATGCTGTGCATATCCGGCTTCAAACTGGGCAATGTTTTGGAAGCTTTCGTCTGTGAAATGCCGGTTCTTCGAACCTCTGAAGGAACAGTGTTAAAAAGAAATTTCAACCACTGACTTCGTCGTGGTTCTTCCGTCGGTAGGACAAACAGCTCAGATTTCTCCTCACATTTCAGGAAACAGGTCCTTGGCATTGGCATGACTGGATCGATTGTGAACTGAACCAGAGCTTCCAACAGTAAATGTTAGGCTGGCAGAGGGTGCGGCCAGCGCCGCTGGATGTGGCCATAGCTCTTCGGGATTGGTCCATTTCGTTCCGGGTACCGCATGACATCATGCCGTACCCGGAACTAAATGGAAGACTCAAATGGGCAGTGACGTATCTCCAACGAGGCGTTTTGGGGAGTTTTACTCGCTACAGGGTGTACTTTGAGGGTTTTGACTCTGCACACCGTTTACATGCATAAAAACCTTCATAACACACAAGGGGACGGGTAATAACCGGAAAAGCATGACATGGGAGCTTTAAGAAATATTTTGTACATTGTTTGGTGTAACTAAAGTTGTGTCATGATATTTGAAAGACTCCAAATCTCACATTAACAGTGTGAGAAAACTGTGGTAATAATGAGGGGTTTTTGTACAGCTGCTCAACCAGCTTCAGTCACTGTGTCTCTCGAGCACAGTAATAAACAGCAGAGTCTACAGCCGTCAGACTGTTCATCTGCAGATACACCTGCTGTCTGCTGTTGTCTCTGGAGATGGTGAACCGGCCTTTCACTGACTCAGAGTAGAACTGGTTGCTACCATCAGTGTAGATATAAGCGATCCACTCCAGTCCTTTCCCAGGAGCCTGTCTGACCCAGGCCATGTAGGAGCTACTGAATGTGAATCCAGAGGCTGTACAGGTCAATCTGTGAGATTCTCCAGGACTTTTAGTCACTGAATCAGATTCTGTCAGAGTCTGACCATCAACACCTGTAAAGAGGATAAAAACACATCTGGTGAAATAAGCTGGTGACACAATTAAAATCTGTGTTAGATAAAGATCAGTAAAGATGTTGACCTGCCCAGCAGACAGTGAGCAGCAGCAGTCCTGTCCTATAGTCCATCATGTTAAACTGTGTGTCCTCTGTCCTCTGTCCTCCTCCCTGCAGTCACATAAGTAGAGGGGGAGATATCTGAGTTTTGCATTGACTCCTCCTATAACTAAGTGTGTGTGTTTTTTTCAGAATAATTTTGCAAGGCCATTTATAAAGGGACAAACAATTGACTTCATGTAAAGTATAATGATTTTGATTGCCAGAGGGACAGCTAGGCCTACATCCAATATGACAATAAACTCAATTAATTAACTAACCATTAATCTCAGGTGTATTTGATTTAATCTGGGTTAGAGATTAGATGATCAGAGCTGCTTCTTTAAGGGAAACTTTATGAATATATATTTTTTATTGAATCAACTTCTCCAATGTGTTTACGGTGGATTAAAGTTTGGCAGTTAGCTGACTGGAATCAGTTGTTTGTCTCCAGTGTTAAATATAGAATTTGCTTCATTTGGTTGTGGTTATGTTACAGTAATGTTTCAAATTCAAACAGATAAAGCTTTCCTGATGATAATGTTTATGATATAATGATGATTGGTGTTCAATCGGCAAATCAAACAGATGTTTTTTACTGTTTAATGTTATCAAAGTGTGCTTTCATTAATGTACTTCTAGAGATACATGGGCACAGATTAACCATACTGAATCAGACAAACAGCTGCGTTGTTTGAAATGGGACATTATTATATTATATTTGATACATTTTGTTGGAGGCACAAAAGAAACAATAATACATATTTCTGTTTGAATTCACTATATGTCTTTAGGTTGCAACTGAATTAAACTTTGCGTCAAATGAGATGAAATAGGATGTCAATATTCAGTTACTCATTTCAATATAAAGTGAATGCTCTAAAGGGTGGTGATAAATAGAGGAAGTAGTTTGTGTACGACTCTCCTGTTACTGTCTCTCACTGTGTCTCTTCTGGCACAGTAATACACTGCTGTGTCCTCGGCCTTCAGACTGTTCATCTGCAGATACACTTTACTGCTGGAGTCATCTCTGGAGATAGTGAATCTACCCTGGACCGACTGGGAGTAATAGATAGGAGTACTAGCTGTGTGTATGAAAGCGATCCACTCCAGTCCTTTCCCAGGAGCCTGTCTGATCCAGTTCCATACTGAGCCTCCAAAGTTGAGTCCAGATGTTGTGCAGGAGAGTCTGTGAGATTCTCCGGGTTTCCTGACTGCTGGTTCAGACTCAGTTATGGTCTGACCTTCAGCGACAGACCAAACAAACAGAGCAACCACCAAGAGTGTTAGCTTTCCCTGAGCCATGTTCACACAGTCTCTTGTGTTTTCAAAAGCTTGAGTCGCTCTTTAAATATGAAGTAAACTTGATCCCTGTGAGAATTCATTTGACGATTAGCTCCTCCTACTTTGCATTCTGCTTTAAATGTCAAATTCAAGGCTATACAAACAGCATTAAACATAATTTAAACTATCAGCAAATAGTTATTTAAGGCAATTGTTGACTATTTGACTATAACTCATATGAGTAACATCAAAGCTTTACTTCTAATCATTGTTTTAGTTGTAACAATTCGAAACTAATTCAGAAATTGGTTGAACGATATGTTTTGTATTCTTTTTATGTTGTAGCTGCAATGAAGGAAAGCAAGATGGTGTAAATGTTTACTTGTGTTTGCTGCAGCTGGATGAAGACCTGGGTTTTGTTTCTTTTTTTACTTTAAAGGTTTCAGTATTCAAATAGTGGCAATTTGAGGACAGATACAGAGAAACTTGGAGCCTTCAGAGGACATAAACTACTAAGGAACTGAAACCTATTTGACAATGTGCAAAAACACATTTCTGCAGTGCATGAAAAATGCAAACTAAATAAGTTATAAGACGTAGGATCTCAGATTAGACCATTTTCTAAATGTTAGCACATAAATGCTTTTCATGGTTCAGCTGCTGTCTTCTCTAAAGAGACATTTTGATAAGAGTCTGTTCTCCAATAAACATGATAACTCTATTTAGTGATATGATTTCTACATTCAGCTATCTGTTAAGAAATATGTTTTACATTGTTACATTGTTTGGTGTAACTTAAGTTGTGTCATGATATTGGAAAGACTCCAAATCTCACATTAACAGTGTGAGAAAAGTGTGGTAATAATGAGGGTTTTTTGTACAGCTGCTCAACCAGCTTCAGTCACTGTGTGTCTCGAGCACAGTAATAAACAGCAGAGTCTACAGCCGTCAGACTGCTCATCTGCAGATACACCTGCTGTATGTTGTTGCTGGAGCCGGTGAACCGGCCTTTCACTGACTCAGAGTAGAAGATGCTGCCACCAACGATCGAAGCGATCCACTCCAGTCCTTTTCCTTCAGCCTGTCTGACCCAGGCGATGTAGTGGCTATTTAATGTGAATCCAGAGGCTGTACAGGTCAATCTGTGAGATTCTCCAGGCCTTTTAGTCACTGGTTCAGATTCTGTCAGAGTCTGACCATCAACACCTGTCAAGAGGATAAAAACACATCTGGTGAAATAAGCTGGTGACACAATTAAAAGCTGTGTTAGATAAAGATCAGTAAAGATGTTGACCTGCCCAGCAGACAGTGAGCAGCAGCAGTCCTGTCCTATAGTCCATCATGTTAAACTGTGTGTCCTCTGTCCTCTGTCCTCCTCTCTGCAGTCACATAAGTAGAGGGGGAGATATCTGAGTTTTGCATTGACTCCTCCTATAACTAAGGGTGTGTTTTTTTCAGAATAATTTTGCAAGGCCATTTATAAAGGGACAAACAATTGACTTCATGTAAAGTATAATGATTTTGATTGCCAGAGGGACAGCTAGGCCTACATCCAATATGACAATAAACTCAATTAATTAACTAACCATTAATCTCAGGTGTATTTGATTTAATCTGGGTTAGAGATTAGATGATCAGAGCTGCTTCTTTAAGGGAAACATTATTAATATATATTTTTTATTGAATCAACTTCTCCAATTTGTTTACGGTGGATTAAAGTTTGCCAGTTAGCTGACTGGAATCAGTTGTTTGTCTCCAGTGTTAAATATAGAATTTGCTTCATTTGGTTGTGGTTATGTTACAGTAATGTTTCAAATTCAAACAGATAAAACTTTCCTGATGATAATGTTTATGATATAATGATGATTTGTGTTCAATCGGCAAATCAAACAGATGTTTTTTAATGTTTAATGTTATCAAAGTGTGCTTTCATTAATGTACTTCTAGAGATACATGGGCACAGTTTAACCATACTGAATCAGATAAACAGCTGCGTTGTTTGAAATGGAACATTTTATATTATATTTGATATATTTAGTTGGAGGCACAAAAGACACAAAAATACTTATATTCTGTTTGAATTCACTATATGTCTTTAGGTTGCAACTGAATTAAACATTGCGTCAAATGAGATGAAATAGGATGTCAATATTCAGTTACTCAGTATTTCAATATAAAGTGAATGCTCTCATGGGTGGTGGTAAATAGAGGAAGTAGTTTTTGTACGACTCTCCTGTTACTGTCTCTCACTGTGTGTCTCTGGCACAGTAATACACTGCTGTGTCCTCGGCCTTCAGACTGTTCATCTGCAGATACATTTTACTGCTGGAGTCATCTCTGGAGATAGTGAATCTACCCTGGACCGACTGGGAGTAACGGATCGGAGAACTGCTTGTGCCGATAATAGCGATCCACTCCAATCCTTTTCCAGGAGCCTGTCTGATCCAGTGCATGTAGTAGTCACTGAATGTGAATCCAGAGGCTGTACAGGTCAATCTGTGAGATTCTCCAGGCCTTTTAGTCACTGGTTCAGATTCTGTCAGAGTCTGACCATCAACACCTGTCAAGAGGATAAAAACACATCTGGTGAAATAAGCTGTTGACACAATTAGAAGCTGTGTTAGATAAAGATCAGTAAAGATGTTGACCTGCCCAGCAGACAGTGAGCAGCAGCAGTCCTGTCCTATAGTCCATCATGTTAAACTGTGTGTCCTCTGTCCTCTGTCCTCCTCTCTGCAGCCACATAAGTAGAGGGGGAGATATCTGAGTTTTGCATTGACTCCTCCTTTCTGATTGAACATTGTCCTCTGTTCACACTAATATTTACCTGAAAAATATATCTCTCTAAATGTTGATTTTGTCAACATTTTAACCTGATATCAATGTTATCCTTATATTGCTTTGTTACATTTACATTTCTTATTTAATTCAGTTTCTTCCGATGCAACTTGAATTTCTGCTGCTGTTTATTGAAAAATTGTATTCAAATTGTTATGATTTAGTTTCATATCATGTAGCGTGTATATCACTTTGCAGGCTAGGTTTGAAATAGACAAACAGCATCCCAGTACAGCAATTAATGCATTTTTTTCATAAGAAATTGTGACATCCAAAAATAAAATCAGTTTTGGCTCGTAGCTTGTACTGACTACTACTACTATTTTTAGGGGAATACATCCTGTTACAAATCTAACATTTAGAGCAATTCATCTACTGAAACCAATTCAGCTTATTTTATTTTATAAGGTCTACTTGAGAAGTTTAATGGTCGACAATTTGTCATTTTTATTTGTCTTGTATTCTGGGAATACATGCAGTAATGTATCAGTGATTATAACCTCTAAATGTTTAAACTGATGATGTAACAGTGAGCTGGTGTTGAGATCATTTCTGGTCTGAGGGCTCCTCCTCTGGTGGCTTCATGTTACAAGTGTTCAGGCTCTGAGGAGTTTTTGTTCAGCTCTACTGATGGTGTGTGTCACAGTGTCTCTGGCACAGTAATACACAGCAGAGTCTCCAGGCTGCACGCTCTGTCCGTTCAGAGTCACTGTGTTGCTGGAAGAGTCTAAGTCGATACTGAACTTGCTCTTCAGTGAATCTTTATATAATGTAGCTCCAGTGTATTTGCTACCTATCCACTCCAGTCCTTTCCCTGCAGGCTGTCTGATCCAGGCTGTGTAGTGGCTGCTAACAGAATAAGAGACCTGACAGGTGATGGTCAGACGTTGACCTGGCTGCACAGTCACAGAGGCTGGCTGTATCAACTGCTCACACTTCACACCTGTGGAGGGAAACATGTTGAATAGTGAGCGAGGTTAATAACAGTGAGCAGTCAGTGTGAGCGTTCTGTCAGTGTCTCTGCCTCAGTGAGACTCACAGGATCCAGCAGCCAGCAGCAGCAGCAGAGCTACAGAGAACATGGTTGGTGTTGAAGGTGACCTGATGGAGCTTCTCTTCTTCTGCTGCAGCTGACAGCATGATATCAAGTCTTTATAGCAGACTGTGAGGAAGTTCACTTTGCATAGAGAGGGACACTGACAGGCTATAAAAGAGGGACGGACTGTCCTGTCAAGAGTTGTCTTTTGGACTTGTGGTTAGACAATTATAAGGATACATTTTAAGTTACTTATCACTAACTTTTATTTAAACTTAAATAAGATGTAATAATTTATTCTGCTCAGCAAAACCCTAACCCACATACTGGATACATCACGCATAAATCTATTCTCGATACTTTCTGTTAAAAATAAAAATAATGGGACAATATTGTTGCAAGAATACCTGAAGTAAAATGTATATCTAAAAAAGGGGAAGTGAAATTCCACATCAGCCGTTGCTTTCATAGTGTGTTTAGAAAAGCTGTCTTTTTCTCCTTATTGTCATCTGACTTTTTATCATTTACTGCCACCTGTTGGTACTAGTGATAATAAATAGTTAGAGGTTTTTGTAAAGCCTCTGGTCTTCCTTTAACCAGTGTGTGTGTTTGGCACAGTAATACACAGCAGAGTCCTCTGGCTTCAAGTTGGACAGCCTCAGATGCACCATGCTGTTGCTATCATCTCTGGTGACTTCTATCTTTCCTTGTAATCTGCTGGCATAGTCTGTTCCACTTGCATCGCTGTAAACACGACCCATCCATTCCAGTGCTTTTCCAGCAGGTTGTCTGACCCAGTGCATGCTGCAGCAGCTAAATGTGAAGCCAGATCCCCTGCAGGAGAGACTGAGAGTCTCCCCAGGCCTCTTCACTACTGAAGAGGAAGGAATAGACTCCATACTTTGACCTGTACAACCTGACAAGATACAAAAAAGAGAAATGTTCACTAACACACCAAACACAGGGCTGAATCACTGACTGACCATCAGTGGATGTTGTCTGATAAAAGATAAATTATCAAGAAGCAGGAGAGCTCACAGGGCAGAGAGAGAGCAACCAGCAGAAGAGAGAGAGAGTTGATCATCCTGAGACTGGAGATGTGACCTCTGATGCTCCACACAAAGTACAGAGCAGTCAGACAGAAGTACTCTGCACACACTGGAGATTTGCATCAGGATAGCATGGGGAGGGAGGGGCTCATGCAGGGACTCTGTTGTAGTTTGATCTAATTGACTCAATTATTTGTCTTTTTTAAAATGATATTCACTTATCCTTCTATTTGACATCTGACTTTAAACTCAGAGTCATGTTCCCTTTTTGTTTTGAAGTATTTTATCCATGCCAAAAAATGACCCATGGTCCCATAAAAAGAGTAGTTGAGTAACTTGGTTATTGAGTATTTGTTGGCTTTGTTGGTGGTTCGTATCCTTGCACTTCTTACACTTACACAGTAAAACCCAACAGTGTCCTCAGGCTGCATAAAAAGTCTCTAAGGATGTAGAAGAGTCACCATAGTTGAGTTAGCAAAGATTGTGTTGCCATTATTTGATTTATTGTAAAAACAATTCCTAAAACTCTCAAAATGAGTAGATGTTATTTCAGTAAAAACATAATTCTTTATTTAAACCACAGTATTCACTGGATTCAAACTTATGTTATATAAGGTTATCCTTTAAAAAAAATGCAGGTATTCTGTGAGTCATGACAACCTGTCAACGCAATAACACACATGTTTTTCTAAATGAAATACATTTCATTATCAGCTGGCGATCATCCAATGGGAATTGTGTTTTCACAGCCCTGACATGCTTCAGTGGTTTTCATACAGGTGTACAGATGTTCAGTTGTTGTACAGCGTGGTAGTCTAGTGTGTCACTGTGGCTCTCGTGCACAGTAATAAACTGCAGAGTCTTCTTGTGTCAGACTCTTCACCTCTAAGTACACAAGATTTTTGAAAGTGTCTTTGGTGATGGAAAACTGGCCTTGCAGTCTTTGGGCAAATATGGTGCCAGTTCCACTATCAATGCGTCCGATCCACTCCAGTCCCGTCCCTGGTTTCTGCCTGATCCAGTGCAGCCAAGCCAGAGGAAGTCCTTCCACCTTACAGGACAGAGAGACTGGTGCTCCTGTTCTGCTGACCACCGGCTCTGAGGAGGTGAGGGACTGGCCCTGAGCCGCTGAAAGAGACACAGAGTTTAGATGAAGGGGAACCAGCAGCTCTTCTCCTCCTCTGCTGGACCGACTTCACTCACCTGAAACCAGAGCCAGGAGGACCACGCTTTGTACCAATGTCATGGTGGGAACTTGTCCGAGTCTGCAACAACAGAGGCTGTATGAAGGATATATATTTTGCATGCAGAATGGGTGGGGATTATCCATCAGTGTGTTGGGATTTGCATTTTTGGGGGGGGGGGTTGCAGTGTTGAATCATAAAGACTAAATGTGTGAGAGAAGGAGGAGTGCTGAAATATGAGAGAAGGTCCATAACACACCCAATAATAAGATGTTGTTTAGTCTTTTCTACTTGTTGGTATGTGCATTTCTGAGAGACTATAGTGTGGTGGGTGATTTAATGTATACAAAACAAGCTGCTCTGTCAGTCTCGTACTTTCATTTGAAAATGATAGGTCACCTCAGTGAGGGGGATTACTGCTAAAACAGCAACATGTCACTCAGGAAGACAAAGATTTTCTCCCAGAAAGTGAAAGTTTGTCTTATTGCAGAATGATTTATTTATCCAGCGTATATCACAATGCACAATCACAAGAACAAACAGCCATTCTTCCTTCTGTTCATCATGAACTTCTTTCAGACGTGAGATTAACACATGAGGCTGCTTCACTTCCAACTGAATGTGAGTCATGTGACAGAAAGGTCTACATTTAGTGTTTCTTTTTGCCCATACATGAAACATACATTTAGAAGATGTTATTTCTGTCCTTGGCTGTTTTATGAGGAAATTATTATTTTAAATACATATTTATTTTTATTATTGTGTTTTGTAACTTGTTGTAACTGTTTTTTTCATTTTCATAAAAACGACAACAACGAATGATTTAGTCAACGTATAACTCTCCTTGTACTCTATCAACAAAGTACAGATGAAGACTGTAGGTTTTTGTACAGCTGCTCAACCAGCTTCAGTCACTGTGTCTCGAGCACAGTAATAAACAGCAGAGTCTACAGCCGTCAGACTGCTCATCTGCAGATACACCTGCTGTATGTTGTTGTCTCTGGAGATGGTGAACCGGCCTTTCACTGACTCAGAGTAGTAGCTGCTGCTACTGCCAGTAGGGTGGATATAAGCGATCCACTCCAGTCCTTTCCCAGGAGCCTGTCTGACCCAGGCCATCCAGTAGCTACTGAATGTGTATCCAGAAGTAGTACAGGTCAATCTGTGAGATTCTCCAGGCCTTTTAGTCACTGGTTCAGATTCTGTCAGAGTCTGACCATCAACACCTGTCAAGAGGATAAAAACACATCTGGTGAAATAAGCTGGTGACACAATTAAAATCTGTGTTAGATAAAGATCAGTAAAGATGTTGACCTGCCCAGCAGACAGTGAGCAGCAGCAGTCCTGTCCTATAGTCCATCATGTTAAACTGTGTGTCCTCTGTCCTCTGTCCTCCTCTCTGCAGTCACATAAGTAGAGGGGGAGATGTCTGAGTTTTGCATTGACTCCTCCTATAACTAAGTGTGTGTGTTTAAAAATAGACTTCATGTAAAGTATAATGATTTTGATTGCAAGAGGGACTCACCTAGGCCTACATCCAATATGACAATAAACTAAATTAATTAACTAACCATTAATCTCAGGTGTATTTGATTTAAATTGGGTTAGATCAGAGCTGCTTCTTTATTTATTTCATTTCATCGTTTATTTGAAGAGTGCATATTGATGAACATTTAAGACAAATAATGCTTTAAAACGTAAACATGCCGGATTTTAGCTTTGAGCTCATTTCCATCCGTAGTCCCTCACATACAACATTTAAGAACATGACATCTATATACATAGCAAAAATAAATACATGATATGCAGAAAGAGCATGAGCAGCATATACAAGCATTAACCACATGGCAGTACAATGTAGCAGCTACGATATATAAAGTGCAAGAGAAGATACAGGAGCTACATCAAGTGCAAGAGGAGGGAAACATTGTTAATAAATATTTGTATTTAATCAACTTCTCCAATGTGTTTACGGTGGATTAAAGTTTGCCAGTTAGCTGACTGGAATCAGTTGTTTGTCTCCAGTGTTAAATATAGAATTTGCTTCATTTGGTGGTGGTTATGTTACAGTAATGTTTCAAATTCAAACAGATAAAACTTTCCTGATGATAATGTTTATGATATAATGATGATTTGTGTTCAATCGACATATCTAATAGATGTTTTTTAATGCTTAATGTTATCAAAGTGTGCATTCATTAATGTACTTCTAGAGATACATGGGCACAGTTTAACCATACTGAATCAGATAAACAGCTGAGTTGTTTGAAATGGGAAACCTTTAATATTTTTTTTATATTATCTGTGATACGGGACTGCGGATGGAAATTAGCTTAAAGCTAAAATCCGGCTCATTTACGCTTGTAAGCATTTTTTTGTTTTAAAGTGTTCATCGATGTGCACTGTCCCGGTTCCAATAAACGATTAAATGAAAATACATTTTGATCGAGGCACAAAAGACAAAGAAATACATATTTTCTGTTTAAATTCACTATATTTCTTTAGGTTGTATCTGAATTAAACATTGCGTCAAATGAGATGGAATAGGATGTCAATATTAAGTGAATGCTCTCATGGGTGGTGGTAAATAGAGGAAGTAGTTTTTGTACGGCTCTCCTGTTACTGTCTATCACTGTGTGTCTCGGGCACAGTAATACACTGCTGTGTCCTCGGCCTTCAGACTGTTCATCTGCAGATACACCTGCTGTCTGTTGTTGTCTCTGGAGATGGTGAACCGGCCTTTAAATGACTCAGAGTAGTACGGGGTGCTACCAGTGTCGAAAAAAGCGATCCACTCCAGTCCTTTCCCAGGAGCCTGTCTGACCCAGTGCATCCAGTAGTTACTGAATGTGTATCCAGAGGCTGTACAGGTCAATCTATGAGATTCTCCAGGCCTTTTAGTCACTGAATCAGATTCTGTCAGAGTCTGACCATCAACACCTGTCAAGAGGATAAAAACACATCTGGTGAAATAAGCTGTTGACACAATTAAAAGCTGTGTTAGATAAAGATCAGTAAAGATGTTGACCTGCCCAGCAGACAGTGAGCAGCAGCAGTCCTGTCCTATAGTCCATCATGTTAAACTATGTGTCCTCTGTCCTCTGTCCTCCTCTCTGCAGTCACATAAGTAGAGGGGGAGATATCTGAGTTTTGCATTGACTCCTCCTAAAAAAAAGGAGTAAACCAGATTTGCTATTTTTGTATTACCTTCATCACATGGTCACCTTATGTAAATCTGTATTTCTATATGTTAAGATTTGTTGTTGTTTTCAATTGACTACACTGTAAAAAAAGATCGTAATTTTACAGGAAATAACTGTAAATTTTTATAGTAATTATCATGTTTTTTTAAATAACTTGCAAAATTCTGTAAAATGACAGATATTAACTATAAATTAACAATCCAAAACATTATTTTAAGTATTTTGACAATAACAACAAATAACGAGTATTTCATTTTTTTTTACAGTACATTTATTATATAATATTTACAGTATTTTTGCACTTTCAGAAAATACATGCAGATGTACGTAAAATAAAAAGTATTATCTGTAATTAAATATGTAACTCGTAATATAAAAGTGTATTACTATTATAAGACTTTAAGATATTTCTTTGTAATTTTAAGGTAAACATAAAACTGTAAAAAAAAGCGTCAAACAAAAAAAATGTAAAGTAAAACATTTTTACATAAATCATTTTCTCAATATTCGATTGAATCCACCACAAACACAAAATATCCAATGTTGAAACAAAAGTAAATAAATATGTTTTCATTAAATTCCTAACTTACTATATTGTAAACATCTACAGTTGACAATATCATTAAAAAAAATAAAAATCTTAGAAAGTGGAGAAATCTCTGCAGGGAGGACCCAGGTTTAAAACACACACTGTTATTTACTCAACAATAAGTCACAGTTATCCTTGTTTTATTGATGTGTTCTGTTGCTGTGTTTTTTTTCCCATTGGTCAATATACAGTAATAAGCCTTAGTCTTTCATGCAGTATAATGTGCATGGTTTTCGGATTCTGGCCGACAGCCAGAACTACGGCACTTGAATTGGAATTCAGCCATAACACGGCAGACAAGTCAGGCATGTTTGGAATGAGTCCACAACACTCCTGATTGGTTAATATAAACGTCATCGAAGAAACCTGCCAATGAGAACTGCCCGCGCCTGTTGTTCACATTTGAAACATTCACGTCAGTTAGAGCGGGTCTCCTCCTGCGGACGGAGCTACAGCTGTCTGCCCTTTTCACACCGGCGCTTTTCCAGCTCCGGCTCGGAGCTGCAGGAGTTTATGGATTAATGGATTAATATCGGGATCGTTTTACATCTACACGTTAAATATGAGCATCGGGACGTCAACAAAGAACAGAAGACTTGAGATCTGGTGAGTCCTGCAACTGTAATGGAGTTAAACATGTATTTAGATAATCCTTAGTTTGTGAATGTTTTATTTTGTATTTAAGGTTACGTTTCTTCTTCTAGTTAGCTGAGTTTGCATCATTAATAGGTTGTTAAATGTTAAGAAGCCCTGAGATGCTGTTTCTTGCAAGATGTTGCGCCCAAACCTGGTTTAACAAGGCTAACGTTAGCTTACAGCTTATTGCAGTGCTGCCGCTCCACCTCTCGTCTCCACACGGGAGAATTACACATAAACATGCAGCGGGGTGTCACAGTGTTGTCGCCAAGTTTAATGTAAAGTTTCACAGCTTTCTTACAGCGGAATCCAGTTTGTTAATGTTAAGTAGCCAACAGCTAGCATAGCATAAACAGCTAACCGCTAACGTTCGGCTAACTTGCTAGTTAGCTCTGCTCTATATATTACAAGCTAACATGACTAGCTAATGTCACACTGTGTGAACTAAAATACTTGTTGTATTACTACATCATACATGCTTGGTCCAAATCACTGCTAAAATTAATTATTTTTGAAAATGTATAGTAAATAAATACTCAGCCATGCATGAAATAACATAGCAAAAGAATACGGGCAATGTTTGACCCATGTTGTCCCTTAGAAGTGTAGTGATACAAACATGATTTTTATTCAAAAAGTAAGAAAGTAAAAATTAGAATCAACCAAGCATATCTTCCCCCTCGAAATCCCAGTTGTACTTCGCTAACATGGACTAGGTCATGTTAGACAAGCAATCCAGTGGTTAGTTTTAGGGTAAGCTCCATTGTTCTTTTTGTTTTTTATTCACTTTAAGAGAAAGGGATTTCAGAAACAAGTATCACAAGTTTGGCTCAAGGTAAAATTAACAAAAGCTAACTGTTGTTAGACTATGTTCCCCCCTTCTAAACTTATGAAATAATCAATGCCCTTGGGATGCTCTCAATTGTGTGTGTGTGTGTGTGTGTGTGTGTGTGTGTGTGTGTGTGTGTGTGTGTGTGTGTGTGTGTGTGTGTGTGTGTGTGTGTGTGTGTGTGTGTGTGTGTGTGTGTGTGTGTGTGTGTGTGTGTGTGTGTGTGTGTGTTCATACAAGATTTAGGGGATCTATTGGCAGCTGCTGATAATAACATCCATCATTATGGTTTACTAATAGTTATCACTTCACTTCCTCCTCCAGCACCTGGACACAGCAGGAACCTACGCCAGGATCCTGTTTGTGGACTTCAGCTCTGCCTTCAACACCATCATCCCAGCTCTGCTGCAGGACAAGCTCTCCCAGCTGCAGGTGGATCACAGACTTCCTGTCTGACAGGAAGCAGCACGTGAGGCTGGGGAAACACGTCTCTGACGTGGTGTGGGGAAAACCACCTGGAGCTCAACGCTCTCAAGACAGTGGAGATGGTTGTGGACTTTAGGAAGAACGCAGCCCCGCCCGCCCCCATCACTCTGTGTGGCTCACCATCACTCTGTGTGACTCCCCATCACTCTGTATGACTCCCCATCACTCTGTGTGACTCCCCATCACTCTATATGACTCCCCATCACTCTGTGTGACTCCCCAGTCACTGCTGTGGAGTCTTTCCGCTTCCTGGGCACCATCATCGCCCAGGACCTCAAATGGGAGCAGAACAGCAGCTCCCTCATCAAAAAAGCCCAGCAGAGGATGTTCTTCCTGAGGCAGCTGAAGAACTTCAACCTGCCAAAGACGATGATGGTGAACTTCTACACCTCCATCATGGAGTCCATCCTCACCTCCTCCATCACCATCTGGTACGCTGCAGCCACAGCCAAGGATAAGGGCAGGCTGCAGCGTGTCATCCGCTCTGCAGAGAAGGTGATCGGCTGCAATCTGCCATCCCTCCACGACCTGCATGCCTCCAGGACCCTGAGGCGGGCAGGGAAGATAGTGGCCGACCCCTCCCACCCTGGACACAAACTGTTCACCCCTCTCCCCTCTGGCAGGAGGCTGCGCTCCATCAGGACCAATACCTCTCTCCATCAGGACCAAAACCTCTCTCCATCAGGAACAAAACCTCTCTCCATCAGGACCAAAACCTCTCTCCATCAGGACCAGAACCTCTCTCCATCAGGACCAGAACCTCTCTCCATCAGGAACAAAACCTCTCTCCATCAGGACCAAAACCTCTCTCCATCAGGACCAGAACCTCTCTCCATCAGGACCAGAACCTCTCTCCATCAGGACCAAAACCTCTCTCCCTCAGGACCAGAACCTCTCTCCATCAGGACCAAAACCTCTCTCCATCAGGACCAAAACCTCTCTCCATCAGGACCAGAACCTCTCTCCATCAGGACCAGAACCTCTCTCCATCAGGACCAGAACCTCTCTCCATCAGGACCAGAACCTCTCTCCATCAGGACCAAAACCTCTCTCCATCAGGACCAGAACCTCTCCATGAGGACCAAAACCTCTCGCCACCAGGACCAAAACCTCTCGCCACCTCAACAAGGCCCCCCCACTGACACTTTACCTCATCCACAACGCAGACTCTATGCATTACATAATGGAGATCACAGGATGGTAAATAATGCAATGTTTAAATATTGCTTACTGCACATATTTTATATTCTATAATTTATTGCATTCTATTTCGATGTATATTACTGCTTTATTTTATTGCTATCTTACTATATTTTTATTACAGTGTTCTTAATATAGTTCGCTATCTGTGTACTTTTTTTTATTTAATTTTTTTTATTTATATGTGTATCTACGACACCTAGTCAAATTCCTCATACGTGTGAAAAACCTGTTTCTGATTCTGATCTTTTTGTCCTCTAGGTTGCACTGCCACGTCTACAGTAGCGCAGAATGGACAGAGGAAACATGATTGGGCCTCAAGTTTTTTGCAGCCAATATACATTCTACAAACTTGGGATAGGAGGGTGAGTGAACAAGTTATCCATTGGTTGGAACCTACATCCCCATTGTTAGACGTACTAAATCCTGCACACTGCTCCTTCAAATTGACAATGTGAACATATGTTGCCATTTTGTAATTTCTGTTATTTTCAGTTGAGAATGTTTCAAAGTACTCTTAAAAAATTCAACTTACTTTTTGTTTCTACTGTTTATAAGTATGATGTTTAAATATGAAATGCTGTATTCATTAGTTTTCATATTTTAAGTTTTCAGAGTAATTGTTTCCGACAGAACATTTTGTGATGTCTTTTCATTGAATGTCTTTGATTGGAAAATGTTAGAAAAAAGCTGTAAAATAACAGTATTCTACCTGTAGAACTTTAGGTTCTGTATTTATTTTAGTGTTTGATCATACAAATCTAATAAAAAAAAAAGTAAAAAACAGTTTTTCTCATCCGAACTTTATTTAAGGTATTTGAATGTAACATTTTAAGACAATGGATTTTGAAAAGAGAGGAAAGTTTCCTGTAAAATCGTTAAGGACAATTTCTGTATATTAATTGCTTTTGCACTTTATTTGAGTTAAAGTATTTTTACTTTAATTTTATGGTTTTTGTTTGGCAGCCGCTGCTGCCAGTCATTTGACCGTTTTTTTTACAGGTTTTTTGCACGTTAAAGTATTAGTAATGTACTTTTATTAAAGGTTATTGACTGTAAAAAGAGAGGATAAATCTGTAAAATTAGAGTATTTGCACGTTAAAGTATTAGTAATGTACTTTTATTAAAGGTTATTGACTGTAAAAAGAGAGGATAAATCTGTAAAATTAGAGTATTTGTACGTTAAAGTATTAGTAATGTACTTTTATTAAAGGTTATTGACTGTAAAAAGAGAGGATAAATCTGTAAAATTAGAGTATTTGCACGTTAAAGTATTAGTAATGTACTTTTATTAAAGGTTATTGACTGTAAAAAGAGAGGATAAATCTGTAAAATTAGAGTATTTGTACGTTAAAGTATTAGTAATGTACTTTTATTAAAGGTTATTGACTGTAAAAAGAGAGGATAAATCTGTAAAATTAGAGTATTTGTACGTTAAAGTATTAGTAATGTACTTTTATTAAAGGTTATTGACTGTAAAAAGAGAGGATAAATCTGTAAAATTACAGTGTTTTCCTGTAAAATCTTTAAGGACAATTCCCGTAAATTAATGGCTTATTCACTTTATTTCAGTTAAAGTATTTTACTTTAATTTAAGGGTTTTTGTTTGGCAGCCGCTGCTGCCAGTACTTTGACCGTTTTTTTACGAGTTTTTTTTTTACAGTGTATGTTATACTATGTCGCATGCAGAGGCCTAAAGATAATTGCACTGCTCTCACTGCAATTAAGTTTGACATGTTCTATTGTCTGCTGTCTGTCTTTGTAAAATAAATCTCTACTTTTTTTGTGTAGATTCACTGGTGACTTCCACCAGTGTTGCACATAGAATTAACCTTTGACACTGACTTTCTTCCAAACACAGAGCAAATCCCTAAACTGTCTTATTTTCACCCTTAAAGCATGGCACATCATAACATCGATATTAGAGCACAGCAATTGTCGTCTTTATGGTAAATCCTTTAAAATCCTTAATAGACACAGATACATCCTGAACTCTGCACGCTATCCTGTTCACTCACTGATACGCAGTGGCGTCGCCTGGGGTAGGCATCCGGGGCTTTAGCCCCGGATGTTTTTTCTTTAGCCCCGGACAAATTCTCCCTCAATATAATACATTAACCGTACTTCTTTACCTATAGGACGGCAGGTTTGTAATTTCCCATGTTCAGTGAATGCAACATAGGCAAGCCAAGACACCACCAGACCAATCAGAGAGTTGCATGGAAATAAACGTGTTTTATTGGCTGACAGGTACGGACCTCTCCTCTGTGACAATGTTTAAACTTTAAACTGTCAGCCCCGGACGCGGAGATTCTGAAGATGGACATCAGACATTTTTTCAATAAAAAAGACGGCAATACTCAAGTGGTGGCTCACACAACAACCCCAGAGCCACCACCTGAGCCAGGTGAACAAGGTATGTACATGTCAGTAAACTTACAAGTTATGCGAACATGTAAGCAAAGCATAAATTACAGCTACGTTGACGTTACTTTGAATCGCACGGGTAATCTAAACCGTTAGCAAGTAGCTATAGCGAGCCAGATATATTAAATAAACACTTTGTCATACAATATAAATGTTGTGTTTTTTAGCGTTACCTGGTGATTTCAAAGAAAGCTCTCTGGGAAATGTTGACTTACTGTTCGACAGGAAGCTAGAAGCTACCTTACAGTACACAGTTGATCCTGAGTCCTGTCAGTTAAAGTGTTTCATAGTTAGCTTAGCTAAGCATCAAACTAGCACTGAAATATATGGATGTTATGTGACAGTATTTCTGAGAAAAGTCAGCTTAAATGGTGGCCTAGTTGCCACTGCTTTACTGTCGACAGCACGTTTGAACGTATTTGCAGCAGTAAATGTGGCTGTTTGGCCACTGACGTTGCCATAACACCTGAATTTAAATGTGCAACCTCTTTTTGTGACAGATTTTTGCATGAAATTATAATTCTGATTGATATTTCCTATTGATAGCTAGTTTCTATGTGAACATTATGAGATGGACAGCCAGCTAACAAGCTTTTTATATACAAAGATTTCAGATCAAAGCTAATCCAGTAGGGCTCCTGAAAGGGGACAAGGGACACTATGCTCCCAAATATTAAGCCTCAACCCCCATCTTAAAATTGATATGATCGAAAAATCTGCATTGTCGGAGGCCTTTTTTCTTCATTATCATGTCAAATTGTACAGCTTTCCTTAGTTTTGAATGCAGAAAGATGACTATTCGAGTATTACGTGAAAATGACTATATTAAAGTGTTAAGTAAATATATTAAGTGAATTACTCAAACTGCATTTGTATAGGAATGATTCTCTCCTATTGGCAGATAACTACTAACAGTGATATCTACAAGAGGTTTCCAATGTCAATTTAACTATTTTCAATTGGTTAGTATTATATTTTGTGACAGTGTGGTGACACTCATTTTAATGAAGACAAATTTGTGTATCTTGAAATTCATTTATTTGACAGAGCTGGAAACTGATTTAAAATACTTGTTTGTGTTTACCTACACAGTCATCACAGATGAGCCAAAAATAGTAGAGGATGAAGAAAGGAGAACAGGAGAAAGGGACACACAAGAAGGAGATACAACAGATAAGAACAACAATGAACAGGAACATCAGAACAGACAAGAGTCAATGGGTAACTGGGGAACTGATTTAGGGACTGCAGATACAGGGCCAAGGCAAGTGAGACATCACTGTTTTCCATCCGGCATGTTTGGCCAGCAAAAGAGATCATTTCAACCAAGTTGGTTTGATACTTTTAAATGGGTTGAATATTCTACCACTGCCAATGCAGCATTCTGCTTTAGTTGTAGACTATATGGCAAACCAACGCAATCAAGGGATCAAAGGGACACCCTCACCACCTCAGGATACACAAACTGGAAGCGTGCATTGGATTCTTTTCGAGAACATGAAAAGTCAAACATACACAAGGCTCTTCTTTCCAGTTCTCGACAGAATGCTGGAGGAGCTTCAAAACAGGTTTTCTGGAGTTGGGGAAAAAATATTAATTGGCATACAGGCATGTAAATTTAATCTAATTACTAACAACTTCTAATAATTTGACATAGTTTATGATTTAATTGGAAAATCAAGTGTTTTTAAATAATAAACCTGTTTCTGAGATTTTTTTTTTACATATGGGTGTTGAGAGATGTATAGATCTCTTAATGTTGCTCTCAAAGTGCACCAGATTGATGCTTTTAACTTCAATATTTAAAAAAAATCTTCCTGGGGGAGTTCCCCCCAAAAATAGTACTTTACCTCTGCTTATGTAACTCCGGTGTAGTGTCCCCTCGGCAACAGATCACTCACAGTTGGTGATTACTTTCCTGCATTTCAATGGACAGCATATAAAAAGGACACGTGAGCTTCATTGCTTAAGAGATCCTCACATGCCATCTCTTTAAAAAAATAAGTGTCCAGTCAACAACAAAACATCAGTGATCGTATAGTGGTAGTATATTTTTCATAAGCAATGTGAAACATTAAACTTAAAAAAACTGGTGTACAAAACTCACATACCTGCGTTGATCTCCTGGAGTGTCTCTACTCTTTCTTCTCCACCATTAGAGATTGCAAACATTTCAGAAACAGCTAGAGGTAGGGGACAAATAACTTGTTCGCTGGGCATGTCAAAAACCTCCCTGCTTTGATCAAGACTTTAGGGAGCCTTTCAGCCCCTCTGGCAAAGGGGCTGGAAAGCAAGTTTTGCAAATGCAGTACCATCTACATGCTTGTCCTGTTCCAGACACTGCTCTCAACCACTCAGGGCCTGCACAAATACCTGCAGAAAGAAACAATTGACTTGGTGCAGGCAGTAAATTACAAAACAGCAGTTGAGAACACACTGAAAAGTTACCGAAGTGACGAGAAAGCAAGACCAAGGCCCTGTGCAATGATCTTGATATTCCCGAAACTGTGACACAGAGGAAGAAGCGTAGAAACATGGAAGACTTTGTAGTCGAGGCATCGTGTGGAGCAGCTCTCCCATTAGCTTATTAGCTCAGATTAGCTATTGATGATCACGTTGATAAATCATATAAAACCAATAGCCAAACACACAAAAAACATGCTGCTGTGTGAGCATTAAACGATTAACATTAAACTAAACAAACACAACAAAACGTTATAGTCCTTATAAAATAAAACATACATTTTGTCCACCAAAATAATACAGGCACCTTACCCTCGAGAGATCCTCACATGTTATGAGAATCTCCCACAATCCATTGCCGTAACAAAGCTAATGCAGGCACACGTTTGTTTGTGACACCAGATGGCGTAATTCTTCTTCTTCTTCTTTTATTTAATGGCGAATCGCTTCCACTTGGAGCATATATCGCCACCTCTGGCGTAACCCGAATTAATTCTCCGATTTAACAAGGATTTTATACCAACCTTTATAACTCTGTACACACACGACACACCTATATGTCGTGAGCTGATTATCGAGCCTTCATTGTAACAGATCTGGTAGGCCACCACGTTATTCTTTACTTTCTACGTCTTTATATGGAGAAGATATTACTTTTTTCTCCGTCATGTTGTTTCCATAGCAACAACAACTTCCTGTCAACAGCCAACGAAAAGTAACAAAAAACACTGTAATATCCTTTTCAGTTTCACAGAACACAAATTGGGTTATTTACATAATGTTTACAGTACTGTTTATTGTTATTTTGTAATATTCTTTGCGGAATTTGGCCATGTAAAATGTCCTATTGGGTTGCTGTACAGCCAATGCGTGCCGTCATTGGTAAGCGGCGTAACGAACCCCGAACAGATTCTGATACCTACACCGCCACTGTGGGCTCAGCCCCGAATGTTTCCAGGTCCAGGCGACGCCCCTGCTGATACGACTAACTTCCTTTCTTTATTGGTACTGCTGATTGTCAATATGTGTGTATGGTTGAGTCACATGGTTGCTGAGTATTTGTGCAGGTCTGCTGGTGGTTTGTGTCACTGTGGGCTGACGTACACAGTAATACACAGCTGTGTCTGCAGGCTGCACACTCTGTCCTGTTAGAGTCACTGTTCCAGCAGAAGTGTCTCTGCTGTAGCTGAACTTGTTCTTCAGAGCACTATTTTGAGTTAAGCTACCTCCACCCCACATATGTGAAATCCAGTCCATTGGATTTCCTTCACACTGTCTGATCCAACCTCTTGCATAGCTGCTATCAGTCAGAGAATAACCAGAGACCTGACAGGTGATGGTCAAAGGCTGTCCAGGCTGCACAACCATTGAGTCTGGCTGGATGAGATCAATACTGTTCACACCTGTGGAAACACAAAGCAACATTATCTCCATCATTCATCTGACCACTCAGTGTTTCTGATGTGTTTATTAGTGAGAATCCACTGAAAGCTCCTCACAGGATCCAGCTGCCAGCAGCAGTATCAGAGCTGCAGAGAACATGTTGATGTTGAAGCTGAACTGATGTGAGCTCTTCTGTCCTCTCTCTGACACACACACACACACACTTCACTGGTTTATGAGGAAACACACACAGATCATTTACATACTGATGATTGGAAATCAGCTGATTTAAAGTGGACCTATCATGCTATATTTGAATAATATAGTGTAGGACCATACCTATATAAGGCATATTTATACTTTTTTTTTTTCAAAATACCAAACAGATCATGCATTTTAGCCATGCCTCATTTCGCTCAATTTGACAATTTCTAGCTCTGTTTTAGCAGGGGCAGATTCAGTGAGAACAGCACCATCTACTGGCCTGGCATATGTACTACAGCGTCTCCAGCGCTTTCGAACGGCAATGGCCGTGGCTGTCTCCTCCTGATTGGTGGAGTTGGCCCAATAGCCGTAGCGCCACTGTCCTGACGTCAGGATAGTGTTCAAATCTGGATCAGTTTTTATCAGATCCGTTGCAGCCCCTTTTTTAGAGATTTGGGTATGGAGGAAAATAGAGAGGGTTGTGTTTTCTGACACTTGGTGAGTTCCCTGGAACTCCGGGGACACATATTCATATATAAAAGACGTACAAAAGTGCATTTTGCATGATAGGTCCCCTTTAAGTTCATGTAAAATATCCAAAAGATGAGGAAATGTTCAAGTGTGGTTTTTCGTCACAAAGGAAAGGTCGAGCAAACACAATTTAGATTCTTGATGATCCAACTTTCCTATAATTTTACCAAAATAACATCACCATGAAGTAGGATAAAGAATACTCATTCATCCCCTAATGCAGTTATGACCCTGTTGAAAAGTTGTCTTTTACATATGTTTTCTTATAATTATATAAAAGGAACTGTCTTTTTGATGATTCCTTTCTACTGTAGTTAGATCAGACACTTTTAAAACCAACTTATGGTTGACTATCACTTTTGATGTTGTATACAATGATGTATCAGTGATTGTAATGTCAGATTTTTTAAATTGATGAAAGCCTTTTCTGTTGAATTTAAGAATATTTCTATGACATCTTAGTACTATTTCCCTCTTTACTGTAACAGTGAGCTGGTGTTGAGATCATTTCTGGTCTGAGGGCTCCTCCTCTGGTGGCTTCATGTTACAAGTGTTCAGGCTCTGAGGGGTTTTTCTACAGCTCTACTGATGGTGTGTGTCACTGAAGGTGAATCCAGAGGCTGTACAAGTCAATCTGTGAGATTCTCCAGGCCTTTTATCCCCCTTTCACACCAACGCGTTTTCAGCGCCGGCTCGGAGCTAGAGCCTGAAAAGTACCGGTTTTTCCTGTTCACACCGCAGCGGCGCCGCCTCTTAGCTCCGGAATCCGGTTTGTTTCCAGCTCCAAAAAATTGTCGGTCTAGCAGCAAGAGCTTCAGAGCTAAGAGGCGGCGTCGCTTACGTCTCTCTTACGTCGAGGCGTGCAGGAAACTAAACCCACCTCCCCTGAACATGGGTCGACTGAAGAGTCTCGTCATGCCTGCCTACAAGCAGTAGCGCTGAGCAAAGTGACTAGAAGGCAACCACACACTTATAAAAAAAAACACACTTTATAAAGTCAGGCAACACTAACCAGGCTTCGTGTGATTCTGTTTATTTGTACCTAACGGCCCGTCCACACAGCAGCGTTAAAAAAATCTTGGAGGTGGGCATATCTGAAGCTTGGGGATTTTTTGCGAGCAGGGCACCAACAACCAATCACATGAATCTCCCGCCCCCGACATACGAAGCAAAAAAGCCCGAAGTAAACTGGATATACACTCCCCAAACAGGCGAAAACTTACCACTGTCTCCCTCCATGCCTGGCTCCTCCGGTTTATATCCCGGTAGGTAAATAGGGACTGGTCATAAAGCACCGGGTGATTCCCTACCGCTAATTTCTCCTCCATTTTTTGGAATATGAGGAAATGACCTGCGGTATGTCTCTCCCAGCATACACGCGGTTTGATTGGCTAGCGCTTGAACTGTCAGATTTGCATACACGGGATTTGATTGGCTGACGCTTCCACCTCAGCTTCAAAAGTTGAACATTGCTCAACTTTGAATCCTGAAAATCCTGAAAATCTCCGCTCTGCTGCCCACAATGCAGTTCGGCGAAAAGTGAGGCAAAGTGACGTCACCCCATTCAAAGTGAATGGGCAGAAGCGTTCCAAGATTTTTTAACGCTGCTGTGTGGACGGGCCATTACTTTGACCACCCGTTCGCTGTTATTGATCATTGTGGAGAGCAGGCAGACGTTTTGTTTTTTATTATAGCAGCTATCGGATGGAATCAATACATGGGCTGCACAGGTTGTCATGTCCGACTATCACAAGTAGAATCATAATGAAAAATACGCCGGTAAAATGTGCCTGTAGAAAACGGCTTAGCAAGTAGTCAGTTTAGCTTCGGTTGCTATGCTAACATCACCCATGTTATACCAGAGAAACTTTCATAACAGCGTTGTGATGCCAAACAGCGTCAATTCAGACTGACACACATTCACTTAAGGGGAACTGGGGATATGTATCAGCTGCTGTGACAGTCAGACAGTGAATACCCTGCTGAAAAAACCAGCATAGACCAGCTTAAGATGGTTGCTGGTTTTAGCTGGTGTTAGCTGGTGTTAGCTGGTGTTAGGCTGGTGTTAGGCTGGTGTTAGGCTGGTTTAGTTGGTTTACCAGGCTGGACAAGCTGGCCAGGCTGTTCTTGCTGGTTCAAGACCAGCCTGGTCAGCTAAACCAGCATAGCCCAGCATGGATGTCATGCTGGTCTATGCTGGTTTTAGCTGGTCTATGCTGGTGAAGCTGGCATTTATGCTGATCTACCAGCAGTCTTGCTGGCGAAACTGAAACAGACACAGACAGACAGAGAGGGCGGGACAAGGGGGAACGGCGAGGCGGCAGTGGTTTATATACAGTCTATGGTTGAAACAAAGCGGTATGTTTTGACTGGCACTAACGGCCCCTACACACGGCGGCGTGCGTTGACGCTTCAACGCTTCTGCCCATTCACTTTGAATGGGGTGACGTCACGATTCGCCAAACTGCATTGTGGGAGCAAAGCGTAGCTTTTCTCGCGGTGCTCGCTGCAAAAGTAGAGCAATGTTCTACTTTTGAAGCTGAGGCAGAGGCGTCAGCCAATCAAATCCCGCGTATGCAAATCTGCCAGTACAAGCGCTAGCCAATCAAACCGCGTGTATGCTGGGAGAGCCAGACCGCAGTTCATTTCCTCATATGCCAAAAAATGGAGGAGAAAATAATCGTAGCGGTAGGGAATCACCCGGTGCTTTCAGTCCCTGTTCACCTCCCGGGATACAAACCGGAGGAGCCAGGCATGGAGGGAGGTGGCAGAGACAGTGGGTGAAACTGGTAGGTTTTCGCCTGTTTGGGGACTTTATATCCAGTGTACTTCGTTTGAATGGACAGCAGGCATAGACAGTATATTTAGCCACCATGCAATGTTGCATAAAATAGCACCATAGACATTAATTAAAAATCGCTTTTTAGACATTAATGTCTATGGTGAGATTCATACACGGGAGCCTTTTTAAAGCCTTTTTACCCCGCTGCAAACAGAAACCCCCCCCCTTCCCATCACAAACTTTACACAGACCCCCCCTTCCAATTATCAACTCCTGTCTTGTTTCCGCAAACTCTTGTGTCCTGCAGCAGCTAAACGTTTTGCAAGCCCCCGTTCGTTTAGTACCTAAAATAATAGACATCGCTTTTTCCAGCTGACAAACCCGACTTTCTGGTCACTTCTTCAATTTTCCAGCCCTTGCGGAGAGACACGGGAGATTCATGTAATTGGTTGTTGGTCGCGTTGCTCGCGTAAACTCCCCAAGCTCAAGACACGCCCACCGCCAAGCGGCAACGCGGCAACGCACGCCGCCGTGTGTAGGCTTCGTACCGGTCGAGGAGTGAAGATCAGTTGAACGTTTCTGTGACTCCGCCCAGCGGCTGCTCTTCTGAGAGGCACCGCTCTGACAGCTCTGTCTACTGGGAAACGCGCTAAAAGTCCTTCTGGAGGTAAGCAACACTACACAATT